GTGCTAAAGATCTTAATGAGAAGTCTGGAGAATGTATGTGGGAATGGATTTTAAGGGTGTGAGATAATGGGTAGAAGGAACATAAAACTGGATCAGGCTGAATTTATTGATATGGGCCCACTAAGTCGATATTCTAGGTTTAATATGGAAACTCATACAGTTAAAAAAAAGGTGTCAAAAGTCTGTTTGAATGGTTGGCTGAAGCATTTATCAAAAGATGGCCTACTGTTGGAGATGCCTGATATCGCTTGGCTTAGTGCTGATGAGGGATTTAAGGCTCAGGGAAACTGTGATGCTAGAGTGGGCACACTGTAAAATCTAATCCTCCGCAATGGGAAGGCCCAGAAGACACGCCCTTCACTGATCCTATAAGACCCAAAATGGTGAGAGGGGCACCAGCACATCTGAAGAGCTTTATCATCACCCTTTTTCTCATGGCAGACCTTAGGGTTGGAGAGGCTGTTGCTCAGCTGGATGAATTAAATGCAATGGATTTAAGTGGGCCCCAAATATCAGGGGCCAGGTGGCAGCACAGACGCGCCCAAGGCAAGTGGATTGTAGTTATTGTGATGGGCAGCACAGACAAAGCAATGTCTATAATGGCCTGAGCCGTGATGGGCAAAGTGACTTTTATGGGAACATGACTTGTGTGGACCTTTGGTATTGACTAATCAATCATGGTGCTTCCAGCCATGAAATACATGAGAAGCCTACTGCTTTTCTGTTTGATCTGTGTAAGTGGAAAAGTTCTCAAATCAATGGAAGAAAGGCCACATTGGATCATGGGAAAAGGGAATCTCAACCTGTAACCAGTTTCCAGATTTGAGTCAGTTTGAAGACCCAGAACTCCTTGATTGAAGAGACAGCCAGGTTCTCCTGAGGAAGGACCTTAATAAAATACCTAAGAGTTTTACTGTTAGCTTTTCTCTAGCCTTCCCCAGATGGACCTATAGCCTTTTATAAGGATAACTGTACACTTAGGGCAAGGAAACAATCAGACTTTCTGGAATTAAAGGCATGTGCCACCGTGCCAAAGATTAGTGGAGTTTTGGCTGAAATCTGGCTCACAGTAGGTGCAGTGGTCCTCAAACTCATCCAGTTATTTCCCCAGCCCAGAAGGAATAATTGGGAAAGATATACTTAGAAACTGGCAGGATTCTCACATTGGTTCCCTGACCTGTGGAGTGAGGGCTATTATGGTTGGAAAGGTTAAAGACTTGGGAGTTGCCTCTGCCTTAGAAACTAGTGAATCAAAAACAGCATCACATCTCTGGAAGAATCACAGAAATTAGTGCCACCATCAAGGACTTGAAAGACACAGGGGTGGGGTTCCCACCACATCTCCCTTTAACGCTCCTGTCTGGCCAGTGTAGAGGACAGATGGATCATGGAGAGTGACAGCTGACGACTGAAAACTCAATCCAGTAGTGACTCCAATTGCAGCTGCTGGACCAGATGTGGCGTCCTTACTTGAGCAGATTAGCACATCTCCTGGCACATGGTGTGCAGCTACTGAGGCCTTTTTCTCAGTAACTGTCCTCAAGGACCACCAGAAGCAATTTGCTTCCAGTTGGCAAGGCCAGCAATATACCTTTACAGTTTTCCCTCAAGTATACCTTAACTCTCCAGTCCAGTTAAAAGGGATCTTGATCTGCAGAGATCTACAACCAAGCACCAGGCCAAGCTCCGAGAGTCCAGTCGAAGAGAGGGAAGAGGGATTATGTGAGCAAGGGAGGTCAAGATCATGATGGGGAAATCTACAGAGACAACTGAACCAAGCTCAAAGGAACTCATGAACTTTAGACCGACAGCTTGGAACCTGCATGGGGACAGACTAGACCCTCTACATATGGGAGACCGACAGCTTGGAACCTGCATGGGGACAGACTAGACCCTCTGCATATGGGAGACAGTTGTGTAGCTGGGTCTGTCTGAGGGGCCCCTGGCAGTGTGGTCAGGATTTATCCCTGGTTCACTGATTAATGGGCCATAGTCAATGGATTGGCTGGATCATCAGTGACTTGAAAAAAACATGATTGGAAAATTGGTGAGAAAGACATCTGAGGCAGAAGTATGTGAATAGATCTCTCCAAATGGGCAAAGGATGTAAAGATACTTGTGTCCCATGTAAATGCTCATCAAAAGGTGACTTCAGCAGAGGAGGAGTTCAGTAATCGAGCAGATAAGTTGACCTGTTCTGTGGACAGTCAGCCTCTTTCCCCAGCCATTCCTGTCATTGCCCAATGGGCTCATGAACAAAGTGGCCATGGTGGCAGAGATGGGAGTTAGGCATGGGCTCAACAACATGGACTTCTACCACCAAAGCTGACCTGGCTACAGCTGCTGCCGAGTGCCAGATCTGCCAACAGCAGAGACCAACACTGAACCCCAGATATGGCACCATTCCTTGGAGTGATCAACCAGCAACCTGGTGGCAGGTTGACTACATTGGACCACTTCTTCAGTGGAAAGAACAACTCTGTCCTTACTGGAGTAGATACTTATTCCCATTATAGATTTGCCTTTCCTACATGTAATGCTTCTGCCAAAATTACCATCTGTGGACCTAGAGAATGCCTTCTCCACTGTCATGGTATTCCACACAGTATTGCTTCTGACCAGGGAACTCACTTCACTGCCAGAGAAGTCCAACAGTAGGCACACAATGATGGAATCCACTGATCTCACCATGTTCCCCACGACCCTGAAGCCTCTGGCCTGATAGAGAGATGGAATGGCCTCTTGAAGGCACAGTTCCGATGTCAATTAGGTGGCAGGAGCCTGGAGGGCTGGGGCAGGATCCTCCAGAAGGTGGTATATGCTTTGAATCAAGGTCTAACATAGGATGCAGTTTCTCCCATAGCCAGAATCCATGGGTCCAGGAATCAAGTGGAAAAGGGAATAGTTCCACTCACTATCGCCTCAGTGACCCACTAGGAAAGTTATAACTTCCTGTTTCCACAACCTTAAGTTTTGCTGGCCTAGAAGTTTTGGTTCTAGAGGGGGTAGTGCTCCTGCTGGAGCCACAACAAACATTTCACTGAACGGGAAGCTCAGACTTCCCATGGTCACTTTGGGCTTCTGATGCCCTTAAACCTACAGGCTAAGAAAGGAATAACAGTGTTAGGAAGGGTGATTGATCCAGATTACCAAGGGTAAATTGGATTGATTCTCTACAATGGAGGTAAGAAAGATTGTCTGGCATGGAGAAGATCATTTAGGGCATCTCTTGGTGTTACCATGTCCTGTGATGTTAATGGGAAACTACAACAACCAATCCATCCAGGCAGGATGACAAAGGGCACAGACCCCTCAGAAATGAAGGTTTGGGTCACTCCTCCAGGAAAAGAGCCTAGATCTGCTGAGGTACTTGCTGATGGTGGAGGAAATGGGTAGTAGGAAAAAGTAGTTACAAATACCAGCTAAGGCCACATAACCACTTGCAGAAATAATGATTATAGTTGATATGAATGTTTCTGTCATATTTTATTAAGAATGTGTTTATACAGATATTTGTATTTTCTTTCCTTGTTATCTTTATCATATAATACAACATCAATTAAGAGACCATCAGTGGTTATCATATTTAAGTTTTGAAATATCAAAAGAATGTCCCTCAAGGTACATTGCCACCTATTCTAAAGTTTATTATGTGTTTGTGGCTTATGAGGGACAGTTACATCATATTAGGTATAATTATGACCTGATTAAATATATAATGAGTTTGCGATTGTACGTGGGATAGTTCTATCATGTTAGATGTAATTATGACCTGGTTATTGTTTTCATTTGGAAATTATTCAGGTCATAAGGAGATAAGATTGTGTGTCAAGTTGACAAGGGGTGGACTTGTGATGGCTATTCTTGGTTGATAACTTGACTACATCTGGAATTAGCAAAAAACCAAGAGGCTGGGCACAACCGTCAAGGATTTTTTCTTATTAGATCATTTGAAGTGGGAAGACCCACTTCTAAACCAGGTCTTTGGAGATGGGAAGACCCACCTTTAATATGGGCCATACCGTCTGCTGGCAGCCTATGTAAGAACATGGAAGAAGGAAGTTTTGCCCTGTGCCTGCTTGCTCTCACTGGCAAGTCCATTCCTTTGCTGGCATTAGAGCCTACTTCTTCAGGATTCTGATGTATGCTGAAGACCAGCTGAGACCTCAGCCTCATGTATTGAACAACTGGTCTTGAACACACAGCTGCACCCTGGGTTTTATACTGCATTACAGTCATGTTCTGTGATTGCCCTAGCTTGTTTTGCTCTTGAACCTGTGGAAGTAGTCCTCTGGGTGCCAGAGTCGTTTATTTCATTCATCCTGTAAAGTCAACGCAGTGTCCCGATATGCATCACACCTGAGTCTTGAGGCCTTTGGGTGTTTTGTTTCCTTTGCAGTACAAAGGATTGAACCCAGGGCATCCTGTATGCTAGGCAGTCCCTCTACCTCTGAGCTACAGTCCAGGCTCTAGCTTGTGACCCTTAGTACCACTTGAACTCTCTTTGAACAGATCGTTAACAACCCTTCCGGTCACAGAAAATGTTCAGCTGGTCAGCGTTTTAAGGCTTATGAAATCTCTCACGCAGCTGCCTTTATCTTCTGAGGCTGCACTGCTGATAGTGATGTGCTTATTTTCTGCCTTGATGGGTGAACAAGTGTCTGAATGTTCCACTGGCTTCAGCTTCTGAGCAGTCACATGGCTGACTTAATTAGGAGAGAAGAAAAGTGCCATAATTCTGCCCTAATGCCCCAGTGGGAATCTGGGAGACCTTTTCTTATGCACATGCTCACCACCTCTGGAATAAAGTGGATGGCTAAGGACACTTGGGTAGGTCACAAGAGAGATTATTAGCCAGGGAAGACACATTTGAACTTGCTGAAAGGGCTGCCTTTGTGCCCAGGAAGGCGGGCCTCGATGGGTCTTCTTTATCCGGCAGCCTTTCCTTTTTCAAGCTTGCAAAGTATGAATAGCTGTCTTTTACCCACTAATCCCCACAGGAATGTGGCTTCGGCTATGGAGAGGATGCACAGTGTGTGCCCTGCAGGCCGCACAGGTTCAAGGAGGACTGGGGCTTCCAGAAGTGCAAGCCATGTGTGGACTGCGCGCTAGTGAATCGCTTTCAGAGGGCCAACTGCTCACACACCAGTGACGCCGTCTGTGGGGACTGCTTGCCCGGGTGAGTTGGGCCATTTCTTCTGTTGTTTTAATTCAATGTTTTCCAAGGCACGTCTCTGTTCCCTCCAAACTTGAAAGCACAGCGGTAAGAACTTGAGGATGTTTGGGCAACATTTGCAACTTCTGTCTCCTTCCTTCTACGGCCTCTGAGCTTGCTCTGTTCCAGGCACTTGTGACAAGACAGAGAGCAGCCACCCTTACCAAGGGATGTGCCCTGAAAACCTAGAGTTCCTGCAAACTAGGGAACAGAAGCACGGAGACAAACGGACAAAGGGACTGACAAGCAGCTCACAAAAGGGGAGCCCCGTGAACTGCATGCAGCTTTGGGCGTTCCCTCAGTCCCTGCAGTGGGTCAGAGGAGAAAGTAGCAGAGATTCCTGACTATGTGGAGCTTGCCCTGGTTTTTTTTTTGTTTGTTTTTGTTTTTGTTTTTTTTAAGGCTTCATCCAGACCAGTAGAATCGTTCAACAGGTAGGAATGATTGCCTCCAAGCCCTGCTGACCTGTGTTCGAACCCTAGGACCCTCCCAGGGGAAGGAAAAAACTAACTGCCCACAAGCTGTCCTCTTGCATGCATGCCATGCTGTACCCGCCCCCACCCCCCATAAATGTTTGAAAAATACCATCTCATGGTATTTTTAAACAGAGACAGGGCTAAGGATGTAGCTCAGCGATAGTGTGCTTGCCTTGTGTGAGCAAAGCTCTAGATTTGGTCCTTTACCTCCCCCCCACCCCGCCCCGACCCCGAACCCCACCTCTGCAGAGAGGCCCGGGGAGTCCCAAGAGGAGAATAGAGTGGTGAAGGGTAAGAGCACACGAGACAGAAGGTGTGAATGGGGGGAACTTCCATGGACTCACTGGCATGTGTCCTGGGAGGTCCACATGTGTCTAGGCAAGCACATCTGTTGTCATGTGTGGGACTTACCAACATTTCAACCTGTTCTGTAACTGTCGTTTCACTCTCTGGATGGTGTCTTTGAGGCCCAAAAGTTTTTCAGTTTTGAAGAGATGTGAGACATTCTTCTTATTTTTTTTTTTCATATGTGTGTTTGGTTTTAGACTGCTTCTTTCGCGGCACCTTAGGGTCTGGGTCTCTGCAGAGAGAGCTACCCGACTCACTGTGTTCTCATCAAGAATACATGAAGAATTCCTGCAACTCAATAATTCAGAAAGAAAATTTGAATAAGAACAAAGGCTTTGAATAGATGTTCTCTAATAATACAAGCTAATGGCAGAGATGCAGTAAAGCTGCTTGCCTATCGGGAGCCGCAGACCCAAACCATATCCACTCATGCCCACTGGAGAAGCCAGCTGTAGATGAGAAGATGGGCAGTTACACATGTTTGTAGGCTGTGGGGAAATGGAAACCTTTTTATGTGAATGGTGGGAATTGGGGGCCACATTAGGAAACGAGCTGACATCTCCTCAAGAAGTTAAATGCACAGATACCATAGACTCAACAGCTCTATGCTCGAGCCTGTGATCAAGAGATTTGAAAAATGTTGTGTATACAAAAATCTGATACACCGATGTTTGTAGCAGCATTCCACACAGTAGCCAGAAATCTGGGACAACCCTGCTATGTATTGAGTTGGTCCCCTCCAGAATTCTGGTGTAAATGTGTGTGGTGCGTTAGCCTTGGGTCCTGACAGGTTCTCTCTCCTGAATTGACTAAGGAGACTGGCAGGGGGAATATGTCCCTTTCTTGCCCTTCTTGCCATGGAAGGACACAGTGTTTCTTCCTTCATGAAGATACAGCAAGAAGGCTGCCTCTTGTGGCCTCTTTCTCTGCCACCTAGACCCTGGACATCTCACTTCCAGCCCCATGAGAAATGATTTATTTTTTTCTAAGTGACCTACAGCACTCCAGAAGGTGTTCTCTTACAGTGCTCCAGAAAGACTTCAGACAAACCCAAATATCCATCAACTGATGAGTGGATAAACACCATAGGGTAGATCTAAACAATGAACTATTACTCAGTCATAAAAAGGAAGGAAATGCTGATATCTGCTAACATTGGGGAACCTGGAAGATATTGTGTTCAATCAAAGAGAACTGTTATAAAGGCTGCACATCCGGTGGTCACCTTAGTCACACGCCCAGAACAGCAAATCCACAGATATGGAAAACCAACCCAGGCTGCCTGGACTGAGGGCTGGGGAGCACCGTGAAGGATGTGGGGTGACGGTAGTGGCTAGCAGGTTTGTTCTAGGGGTGACAGTGTTCTAACATCAGTTGTAGAGATAGTCACCCAACTCCATGACTATAACAACACCACTGGCATGCAACCCTTTCAGTGGGTGACTTGTATGGTATGTGAATTATGTCTCAACAAATCTGTCATTTAAAAACTGAACTAACAAAAAGTACCATAATTTCAAAACTCCAAGTAATGAGTATAGGTAGCTATGGGGATTGTTCTTTTGCCTTGCTTTGAGACAGGATCTTGCAGTGTAGCTTGGGGTAACTTTGAACTCCCTATTCTCTTGCCCCTCTCTCTGTACTAGATGACAGGCAGGCACACCATGCCCTGCTATTAATAGAGTTTTAATCTTAATGTACCTGGAACATCTGACATGCTCCTATAGCCCGTGGTCTACAGTTCTGTGATAAAAGCATGTCTGTGTGTGTCTTGTCTCCTCATCTGGGCAATGGGGTAAACTGAGGCCCCAGGAATGCAAACCTAGGCTGGGAAACACTGGAGAGACTGGCAGGAAGCCAGGACCTGGGGACTTGGTTCTTCAAAACCATCTCCTGGGCTTTTACCAAAAACCCCACTGAGGTGTGCTGTGCACATGCGCATGTGTGTCAGGGCTCCCGGACATCTTACTACTTCTGTTCCTCGTGTGTAAGCCCACCCATTGTCACTTGAGTCCAACCCCGTACTTCCCATTTATTCTTTAAGCAGATGCTTAGATACTAGAAAGTTATCAATGAATAGACATTTGAATGATGCGCCAGTTTATTTCTATGATTCGTTTAAAATTACCTCCTTTCTAAGGCAGCATTCATATATGAGCAGGTGATAATTCTACAGTATTTTAAAAGTACTCCTATAGTTTGACTAGCTTTCTGTGGAGAAGGCAAATAGCTGAAACCTGTTTTGCCGACAGATAAATGAAGGCAAAAGCAAACTATTTCTTGCGTCAAAGTCAGTGCTGTCAAGATCAGGCCAAGGTGGCCATTGTCACTTCTGATGCCAGCCCTGCTTCCTCAGCCTCACTGCTTCAGTGCCAGTGTGGTGAGGCCACACCCACAGGAACCGTCTGACCTCCGTGTGTGTGTGTGTGTGTGTGTGTGTGTGTGTGTGTGTGTGTGTGTGTGTGTGTGTGTGTGTGTGTGTAGTAGCTGGCTTCAATGCCCACAAGCTAAGCGATGACAAAGACCCAGTGCCTTGGGTTCCGGATATGTTCATTGTCTATGTTCTGCCAGTAACTTGCAAGCTGCCATCGGAGAATCTTGACATCCTCTAGTGTTGCTGGAGAAACAAAAATGTAAAGCATAAAGTTCCTGGGGAGTGATGCCCAGTCCATTGTAAACACTGAATAGTTACTGGACAGGATCGTTCATTAAGTGGCCTTGCAACCAGGAAGGCTTTGCATGGCTGTGTCCTACTTAGGTTGTTTGGTTTTTGTTTTTATGTTTTTGTTTTTTTTTTTCTCAGTTTGACATAAGCTAGAGTGTTATCCCCGAAGAGGAGCCTTAGCTGAGAAGATGCCTCCATCAGATTGGCCTGTAGGCAGGTCTGTGGGGCATTTTATTCATTAATGATTGATATGGGAGCCCAGCCCACAGTGGGTGGTGCTACCCCAGGCAGATGGTTGGGGTGTATAAAAACCAAGCTATGCACATCACAAAAAGAAAACCAGTAAGCTGCACCCCTTCATGGCTTGTGTATCAGCTGCTGCCTCCAGGCTCCTGCCTTGGTTTCCCTCAGTGATAGACTGTAACTGTAAGCTGAAATAACCTTTTCTCCCCAAGAGGCTTTTGTTCGTGGTATTTATTGCAGCAGTAGAAACCAGACTAGAAGAGGCTATTTACATCAGAGTGACCGCAGGCCCCGCGTGGCCCATCCTTTCTCTTCTGTGGGGAACTGGAGCCCAGGGCTGAAAGCATAACCCGCCCTCTCTAGCTCCTCAGTGCTTCTGCTGGCCAAGCCATTTAATGAGCACTTCGTACTAGCTAGACACTTTCTGTGGGCCGTACTGTCACCAAAACCATACTGCAAAGTCAGAAGGAGCGCTGTCCACTCCTTACAAAGAAGGAAACTGGTCCTTAGAGTGATGATTGATGCCTCTAGTCACCCAGCTTGTAAGCAGAGGGGCAGGGATATTCCTCCAGTGCTGAGCCTCCTGCTTAGGTGGGTGCCCACTGAGCCAGGAAGTCTCACCGAAGGATTCAGTCATCTGTCCATTCTTTGTCCCATGCCCATTCTACCCTCAAACCACCCATTGGCCCCTAGCTCTTGAGAGCTGCCCCAACTGGCTTGCACATTTTCTGTCCTCTTCTCCTGTCGCCCAGATCTTGTCCATAAGTGACTGTGACATTGTTGATGAGGTCTGGGCTGGATGGCTAATGCTTCATCCTGTCACTGGCGTTTGTACAGTTTCAAATATGGGGTCATGGCTGTAGACTGCTGAGCAAGATACACTATGGGCTGACCGGCCAGCCTGAGCCTGGATGAACAGCAAGCAACACATCCTGCATCCATCGTCCATCCTGTGTGGGGCAGAGTTGAGCCTTGGCTTGACGGTGCCTCACGGGCCTCAAGCCATGGCGCTGTAAAACCAGAGTCGGCTGGGCCATAGCTCTGCTGGGGGAAGAGCTCTCACTGGTGGAAGTGTGAAGTTTCAACACGGGATTTCTTAGAATAGCATTTCCAAACAGTGCTCACCAGGCTGGCCAGTCCAGCTTGGACTGAGCTCAGTTAAAACCATCTCCTCACAACCGCTGTCAGTGAATTTCGCATCTGTAAGATGTATTTACGTGCCACTTTTTATC